TTTAAGAACTGGTCTTTGAAAGTTTCTTTGGGGAGCTAAAAAGGGTTCTTCTGTGGCATCACTGCAAAACTCCCCTTTTGGAACCTTTATTTTTTAAGAGTGTAGATTCAGGTTCATGTGATGCGTTTCTTTGAGAGGTGTTTCCGGTGGCTGCTATAAACATGTCAACGGTTTAACTAGCTTAACTAACTTGCATGGCTAGATTGTCTTTAAAGCAGCACTAAGTAGGAATTCCGTTTTTGTCAAACAGCGACCCCTAGAGTCGCTGTGGAGTACTTGTACTGTCGTGAATAGCACTCCCGCAGAGATGGCTCGCACTCACGGCCGGATCCCCTCCCCCTGTACACCGGTACCTGTTCAGTAGGATGGAAGCTGTAACGAGTGGAAATTAGGTATGGCCCCTTTAAGAGCTGCGCGCGCCCCACATGTATACGGCGCCGTGTTATTTCAGTTTGATGCTCATTTTATCAGAATTTTATCAGATCTGTTTTTTGCCGTAAAGCAATTCGTTACCTCGCGAGACCTGAGATCACACGATACTTCCTAACACTGAGGCCGGCGGCCCAAAGTTGCAAGGGTGGTTTTGCGGCTCACAGGCACCAGGGGGGTGCGAGACGACCACCATTCAACACGAAATCAGTAATATAAACATTACAATGACTCCAAAGCTGTTCGGTTAAGGTAAAAAAGTTACTTAGTTCACCTTTAAACGGATGCTCTGTCATGGCAGTAGATCTGATGTAGAAAACTGACTATAGAAGACCATAGAGCATTTGCAGCAATTATGACAATAATGCTGCCATATTTCAACACATGATCAAGCTTAGCTAGAAATGTCTTTAACATTCACATACACAAATGTTTTGCCCTTATGAATGCTTTGACTACAGTTAAAGAGCTCAGATGATCCAGCAGGATGGATGGATGGATGGATGGATGGATGGATGGATGGATGGATGGATAAATGGGTATGAAAATAAGAATTTAGTTTGAGGAATTAATAGCAGATAAATGAGCACGCCTATATGTTCAGACTTATCAAAGTTATCTGAAATGCCCCTAACGTCACAAAAAGAGCTTTTTGCTTTGGTTAGATGGTGTCTTCCTGTCTAAGCAGGCCGTTCTTGGCCAGAATAGTTGCGATGTGGACCAGGCCTCACATCAAAAGTCTGTCAAAGGCAGAGATTGGCATATCAAATGCTTTTCAGACTGTTGAGGAGACCGTAATGGACTCCCGAGTCTCTTCAGTATTCCAGGCATGTTGTGATCTCTCTTCCTCTCTGGGTTTGTACAGTGAGCGAACAGACTCGTAATAAACCCATTACCACATGAAAGACAACATCTGGCTTCCTCACGGCCAGTGCTGCTGTTTCTGTGTGTGAGACAGGTGAAGAATAAGACTGGGAGTCTTTAGGCACCTCACGACTCAGAGTCACGATCTGATTGCAAAATGACTCTTAATGCATTTCAAGTGCAGCTCTGAATATAGGGCCACGCATTTCCTTTCTATGCCAAGTTCTGTGTCTTTAAACTTTGCATGCTTTAGTGTTGGCCATGAACTTGATTTCTGTGGCTGCGTATGAGAATGATCAACCATGGAGTGTGTGTTTTGTCCTGCAGCATACCTTAAAATATTGAATTCCTGACTGTTGGTTGAATGTCTTGGATGTTTAACTCTCATGTATGATTATTTGCACAGTATGAGTGAGACTATGTAGTCAATGTGTGTGATAATGTGTGTGTATATTATATATATATTATTATTATTTTAATACAATTATTATACATATAAACTGATTTAGTTAGTCAGTAGAAATACAATTATGTAATGTAAAATAACACATAAATAAAAACAATCAAAATAAATATTTATTTTATAAAATTATTTATTTACTTTATTTTTTTATTTCTGATGAAATACCCTGTCATTTCTGAGATTCACCAGTTATACTGTTGGTGATTGCCCATCATAATGCATCTCTCTCTCTCTCTCTCTCTCTCTCTCTCTCTCTCTCTCTCTCTCTCTCTCTCTCTCTCTCTCTCTCTCTCTCTCTCTCTCTCTCTCTCTCTCTCTCTCTCTCTCTCTCTCTCTGGTGGTGTCTAGTTTAGGAGGTAAATTTAGGATGGGAGTGTCTCAAAAACAGCCAATCGAAAGACAGTCGTGATCCTTCACGTAGAACCCAGATAACTTTTTCTCCTCATGCTCTCACTCAGTCTCTCTCTCTCTCTCTCTCTCTCTCTCTCTCTCTCTCTCTCTCTCTCTCTCTCTCTCTCTCTCTCTCTCTCTCTCTCTCTCTCTCTCTCTCTCTCTCTCTCTCTCTCTCTCTCTCTCTCTCTCTCTCTCTCTCTCTCTGTTTTATATGGAAGTGATTGTCCTGCTTGTCTGAGGAAAGTGTGTGTTCGTGAGCATTTGACTCGCGTGTGGCTGGTGGGTTTCTGTCTCTAGCACTAACAGGCAGTATTCATCTCCATTACGCTCTTCTCACGAGTCTTTCTTTCATCAGGGAGGTTGAGCACTTGACACTTTTAAAGAAATAGTTCACCTAAAAATCAAAATCCTGCCATCATTTAGTAACCTTTATGTTGCTTGTTAACCTGTATGACTTAATTTGTTTTCTGGAACATAATGCAGAGTGTTTATACCGCTATTTTTGTCTTGCTTTTTTTCAATGAAAGCATATACCGCTGTAACTCTCAAAACTCATTTGCATGAATACACGCAAGAACCAATGCTGTTAGGCATCATTGACGTCAAACTTGCCACACACCAGGTCTTGATATGGAAGATTTGAATATACATTAGTGACATTTGAGGATTTGTATGGAAATCATGATTAATCAGGATTCTTTGATTAATATAAAGATCAAAAGAACAGGATTTATTTTAAATAGAAATCCGTTTTAACTAGATGCACGATTAATAGTTAAAAGATCAAACACCCACACAATCTCATAACTAAGTGACAATGATTCGGCTGTGTCTATTAAACCTTTGACAAAATCACACCGGAACATTTAAATCTGTGTCTGCGCTGCCGCTGATCCAGAGAGAGCAGTTGTCATGTAAGAAACCGCTTCGCAAACAGTCTTTTCAACCACAGTATCATTATTTCTGTAGAACTGTGATAAAAGTTTATAGTTCGAATATAAACACTGATGTCTACGGTAGCGCTCAAAATAGAGGAAGCACCTTTAGAAAGTAACATGGCGCTTTAAGTAATAATTGTATTAATTGCATTGTTACACCAGTAGGTGGCGATAAGTCACTGTTAAAAAATGTATGTGTCATTGAATCATTCATTCAAGAGATTAGTTAAAAAATCCAATAATCAAGTCAAATCATCTTCATTTATATAGCGCTTTTAACAATGGAGATTGTTTCAAAGCAGCTTTACAGAGATAAACATACAATTTACGGTAACAGAGATTGTTTTGGCTTTATAGCGATTGAATCAAAATAAAGTATTTATGAGTGAGTCATTGAATCATCCATTCAAACAATTTTTTTAAAATAATTAATTTAGATTCTCAGAACCTCTAGTAAATTACATTAGGGGTGTGCGATATTGACGAAAAATTGATACCTCTATATTTTCTGGGATTTTCCTGATAACGACATTTAGATCATATTTTGCTGACTGTTTATTATGTTTTTAACATACTGTACAATGCTAGGTACATTCTCATCACATGTTAACGCAGAGGTAGAGTTACACTCACGGGACACCGCAATTCACAAAAGGTCATTGTTTGCATGTGCTTTAAAGCCTTGCCCGATAAACATTTCATTCGCTAGCTGATGCGCTGTTCTAACATGAGCTATTCTAAGCGCGTACACCCGAAGCGCAAAGCCACTTAAAGCCTGACACACAGCGCCTGGTTACTGGACTAACTTATCTTTCGAGTCTTATTGCGCTAATACTCTCAAATACACACAAACCGATCTAAAACAGTGGCTGGTCCCCATTGACTTCCATAGTAGGAAAACGTATACTATGGAAGTCAATGGGGACCAGCAACTGTTTGGTTACCCACATTCTTTCAAATACATTTTATTTTCAACAGAAGAAAGAAACTTATTTGTGTTTAAAACAACTTGAGAGAGTAAATGATGACAATTTTTTGGGGGGAAACTATCCCTTTAATGTTAATAAAACAACAAAACAGCGAGGAAATCACTCGCTGCTCTTGACTGAGAACTTTAATAGTAGCTTTAATAAGAGTCAGTTCATATTTTGTTACCTAAAAGGCTTTTTTTTTTTTTTTAAATAGGGACATTCGTTTGGCTGTAATGCTCAGTCACTTGCAAAATAGTAAAAACCAACATGAAAAAGAATCGAGATAAAACCGTGAATCATGATTTTCCTGAAATAAATCGTGATATATTTTTGCCATATTGCCCACCCCATGCACATCTACTTTCATGGTGCCTTTTGTCCTTTTTTTTGGAGGTCAACAGCTTTTGTTCCTTATGTTCATTATATTGTATGTGAAAGGGCAGCATGAACATTCAGCTAACCATCTCATTTTGTGTTTCACGGAAAAAACGAAAGTCATATAGATTTGAAACGACACAAGGGTAAGAAAATGATGCCCAAATGTTCATTTGTGAGTGAACTAGACCTTTAATGCTGTCCATGATTTAACCTACAGCCTGAAAACACAGTTTCTAAATCCAGCGAGTGTTTTACAGTTCAGACCACCATAAGCTGTTTCTCTCTCTCTCTCTCTGCGTGGGTTGAAATAAAAAGATTATAATAATGCTAAATGAAGCATTGCGAGGACCACAGGATCTGATGATCTGAAGCATTGAAACGCCACAGGATCAGATGATCGCGCCGTGTTTGTTCGGATCAGCTTCTTCAATGCAGCACTTGCCATATTTTCTCAAATCAACTTTTGTGCACAAGTTTCTTGTGAATTTGTGTTTTCTCGAGAAGATCGAGAATTTTCCAGCTGAAATTATTACGTGTAAATTTCCAGGAGGTTAAAGTGATTATATGAGTCCAGCCCTGAGCTCAAACGCAGAGGAAGAGACTCACCTCCAGCCTCGGATCAGTGGTGGTGGTGATGATGAAGGTGAGGGAGAGATGACCAGCACATGTCTTCCCTCTCAGCACAGCAGGGGTCCGTCAGGGCACGAGAGCTGATGTGAGTCCAGAGAGAGGGTCTGCCATGTTGGAAGTTTCTCCGTGAGAGCGCACGTACGGTCAGTCGGTCCTGCCGTGATCCTTACACATCCAGCGTGAGAGATTCCACTGAGATCTGCCCCAAAACACACACGCAAACTCACAGCACGCGTCTTCACCCGACCGGCGCTCCCCCGCAACTCTCTCCCTCTCTCACACACACACACGCATACACACACACACACTCACACACTCACGCGCACACTGCCGACGGGTTGCAGTGGGGTCCAGCGCTCAGCGATGGCATGTGCGCACATGAGACATCCATCCTGAACCAGCCGCTCCAAGAACTGAGAGACCCAGCGACACACACACACACACACACAGAGAGAGAGAGAGAGAGAGAGAGAGAGAGGAGGCGGGGTGGAAGACAGCAAAGCAGAGAGAGGGAGGAGGGAAATTGTCAGGAAAATCCAGCTTTAGGTCATGTGGTGACCTGCTGATTTACACATTTACATGTTTTTTTTATATTTGATTGAATTTATTTATTTTTATAGTCTATTTCCTTAGATTTCCTTGATTAAATGCTAAATTAAAGAAAAACATTATATACATATTCCTTTAGATATGATTCCAATATGCTGGTTTGCTGCTCAAGAAACATTTCTTATTATTATCAATGTTGAAAACAGCTTTGTGTGTTACTCACTTATTTATATATGAGAGAGAGAGAGAGAGAGAGAGAGAGAGAGAGAGAGAGAGAGAGAGAGAGAGAGAGAGAGAGAGAGAGAGAGAGAGAGAGAGAGAGAGAGAGAGAGAGAGAGAGAGAGAGAGAGAGAGAGAGAGAGAGAGAGAGAGAGAGAGAGAGAGAGAGAGAGAGAGAGAGAGAGAGAGAGAGAGAGAGAGAGAGAGACCTCATTTATCTTGGCCTTTGCATTTATTTATTATTTGGATCTCTGAAATTGTATTGATCAGTTGTGGCATTCTGACATTAACACATGCTTGATCGTGGCTGATAGACAATCTAATGTGATTGTTTCTGTAACTAAAGCCGGGGACACACTCAACGACCGTAAGGCCGATTATGAATGTAATTTGATACTTACGACTGATTATGCCCAAACGCGGCGAGTCAGAGACCGTTGCGTTCAGTCGTTGTTTAAAATGTGCTCCAGTCGTTGGAAACGGTCTGTAAGTGTGTTCAGTTCAGTCTTAGAATGGTTCAGCTAGCCGTTAAGCATTTCCCCAGCATAAATGACTGTGATGTAGTTACGTACTATAGTTTCAGATCACGTCACCACGTTATTTCAGACAGACTTACAGCAAAAGAAAAGTATCAGTCTACTGGGAAACAGTACCTGAGGAAGAACTTGGATTTGAGAAAGTTTATGAAATAGATTCAAAGCTAGAGTTTTGTTTGAGACATTTCATCAAGATCTCTCTGAGAACATCTACTCACCCTCATGTTGTTCATAAGGAACATAAAGGAAGATATTTTGAAGAACATTTGGGCTCACACAACATTGAACCCCATTGAGATTTTCGTCTTTTGTGTTTGATGGGAGAAAGAAGGTCATAGAGGTATGAAGTCATATGAGGGTGATTAAATGATGACTCTTTAATAGTTGACCAGTGATAGTCCGGTTCATCTACGCAGCGTTTCTTTCTTTCTTCATATTATTCTCTCTTTGTTTTATTTTTCTATCTGCCCTCATAAGGGCCACTAGGAGGAAAATACATTCTGCTGACGTGGCACACATTGATTGTATTGTCCTAGCCGCTGGTAAGGCCACACCACTGAATGGCCTCCTTGAGGCTTGACATAGCATGGATTTAGTTGAATCAGCATGTAAAGTCAGTTCTGTCATTACTTCAGTTTTGTGGTTATACGTATATGCAAATAGGGAGAGTGAGGTTTATTTTCAATCTTTGTATAACCCGCAGGATTCGTCAGCCCTTATTCCACAGGTCTTGTCCAACCATTATGACTGAAATCAAAGCGTGTGAACCTCACCAAGCACCATCAACAGACAATTCAGTTCCCCGAACAAACGGCTTTGAACTTCCATCTCCTGACATACACACACACACACTCTCACGGCTTCATACGTACCTGTCACCACTGCTGTTTCGGCTCTGTATTATCCGCAGTGATGTTAAGACCCTCATGTTTTCTTTGCCTACAAAATTTTACGTGTTGGTTTATTAAATAGTTTGACTAATTTGATTGTGCTTTCATTGTGCAATACTCTCTGCTTAAAGGGATAGTTCACTTTGAAATTAATTTTTGATATGTTTTAGCTTACCTCAAGGGCATCCAAGATGTAGGTGTCTTTGTTTCCACAGTAGTTTCAATTTTGATATTTTTAGGTCAAACCGTTCTTGTCTGTCAGTCATATAATGCAGGTCTATGGTCACCACCTCAAAGAGCATGCACAGAGAAGTCCAAATTAAACATGATTTAATGACTCGTAAATGTAAGTACACATTGATGGCCTAAGACATGAAACGAGCAGTTTGTGTGAGAAAACGAACAGTATTTATATCGTTTTTACCTCTTGTAAATACAGCCACGTCCAAGTGATCTGAGGGCGCGGGCGCTTCGGTCTTTTCCGGAAAGCGCCGGACGTGATCTCTCACGCGTGTACGTCACTCATTGTTTACACAGAACAGAGATAGTAGGTAAGACGGCTAATTAAAATGGTACTAATTTGCGCTTATCCGGGATGTTTAAACCGTCGTAAAAGAAAACAATAAAAAAAAATAAAACAATTGTATGAGTGACGTACACGCGCGAGAGATCACTTCCGGCGCTTTCCGGAAAAGACCGAAGCGCCCGCGCCCTCAGATCACTTGGACGTGGCTGTGTTTACAAGAGGTAAAAACGAAATAAATACTGTTCGTTTTCTCACACAAACTGCTCGTTTCATGTCTTAGGCCATCAATGTGTACTTACATTTACGAGTCATTAAATCATGTTTAATTTGGACTTCTCTGTGCATGCTCTTTGAGGTGGTGACCATAGACCTGCATTATATGACTGACAGACAAGAACGGTTTGACCTAAAAATATCAAAATTGAAACTACTGCGGAAACAGACACCTACATCTTGGATGCCCTTGAGGTAAGCTAAAACATACCAAAAATCTATTTCAAAGTGAACTATCCCTTTAACTTTGATCATTAAAGCGTGACCATCAAATCTTTCTGCATTTTTTTCCTCAAAATCAGCATAAACAAATGAACACAAGTCAGCAGATTCCATCTGGGTGCAGGGATGTAGTGGTTGAAGCTCAGGATTCCCACTTCCATTAAAAACCTAGACATTTTAAGGAACTTTATTCGGCCTGGAAAAGTCATGAAAGCTCTAAAATATTTAATTAGTTAGATATTGCTCTTGTGTAAAGTAAAACTTGCTTGGATACCGCGGTGATTTCCAATTTGTGAGCGAATCGATATATGCAGGGTTATTATAGTTAACTGAACTTAAAACCCATGTTCAAAAAGGAGTAGGAAGAAGTTCATAACAAACTTTTCAGGTCCTACCCCCTATCTCTTTCTCTATCTTCAAGTAAAAATGTTACTTGAAATTAAAATAAACATTAACTTAAATAATAACCTTTTTTTTTATTTTATTTTTTTATCTTGATGTACTAAAGTAACTCAAACTAAAAAAAAAATCTATATAGACATGTTTACAAAATAATAAAAATGGAAAACTAAATTACTAAAACATTACTATAACCAGAAAACAGTGCACTTGAGTAATGTGTTCTGTAAGTCACTTTGGATAAAAGCCTGTACTAATGAAATGACTGTTTTATAGATCAGTCAATAGTGACCTAACTCTATACGAGTGTATTTTGTACCACGCTGTACTAATGACCAGCAGGTGCATGAGGTAATCTCTGTTCCTCTCCAGGGCAGGAATACGTGAGATTCTTTCTCAGACGAGCATGTCGTTTACAGACCTCATCCCCGCTGGCTTAATTAAGAGCTTAAAACACGAGCTGCTAAAATGTGCTCTGATCCCAGACTTCATTCCTCATGTTGGGAGTGAGTGTGTTTGCACGTCTTTCATCCAGCCTTGTGTATGTAGTCTGTCGCGTACAGCTCTGTCCACAATCGCTAATATTGAGAGAAAAAAAAAATATATATATATATATTTTATTCACGTTTTCTGATAAAAGCACTAACTTTCTCTGAGCTGTAACTGTAATCCGGTTGAAATTCTGCCATAGGTGAACCCATTGGATGTAAACTGAATTAAGCCGAACACTATCTCGCACACATGTGAATGTCTGAAGGACTCTGGGCCGGTTCTGGCTGGACATCTCATTTGGCAAATGGGGTAGTCTGAGGTATCTGTAAATATGATCAATGATTATTGATCATCCATTCTGCACCTTTGAAAACAAATGTAAACCAGGGGTTTCGCTTGGTAGATACAATCTGAAGATGCTGCTCTATAAACACCAGACGTCCTTTACAATTCAATCGTCCATATTCTACATTAGCATTTAATTTTTTCCCCTGAAGTCCAATTATAGTTATAGTAATGATTTCTAGCACCAAAACAGGCATTATTTCATTTTTCATGACCATTTTCCACCCTTTTTCCAATTTATCAAATTTGTTTAATATTGATTTTTTTTCTTCTAGCAAAACATTAATCTCTAATGGATCCCTTAACCGTGCAAATGTGTGAATGTGTTCAGTCATATGTTAATGTGCTCATATTTATGCCATCAAAAGTCAGTTTAGATTGCTATAGTTCTTGCAGTGTGTATTTCTCCTGCGAGGGGCTTTTCCTGCAGCGTCAGACGTCAGCACGTCACACAGATGCCGTTTCTCCAGATGTTTCCAGGCTCCTGCTGGTGTCTCTGTCTTGCGTTAAGCGGACAGGGATTCTGTCTTGGCGGCTCCATTTGTAACTGACAGAGCCATTATTTAATTAGTGTGATTTAGCTGTAAATGAACACGCTCCAGCGCTGTAATAAAACTGACTCGACCTGAAGCAAGAATACTTAACCATTAGATGTGAAATATGTTCAGCCGGCGCACATTCTCTCCTCTCTTTTTTCAAAATACAGTCCTGTTTTTTTTTTTGTACTGCGTCTTAAAACAGTATTCTGAATCTACCCAGATGGCATACTGGTAGTTGTTGTTGAATTTTTGAAGGCTGCATACAGTATGTCGTTTTTTTGGGGGGATAATGCTGAATTCCATTCAGCGTCAGCTTTGGGATTTTGGGACTTCTGACCATAAAAGCTGCAACATTAATTGACATTCACTGTTCGCTCTGCAGGTGTTCAATTGACAGCAAAGAAGTGCTGCAGCCAAATTGTGGCTGGAAATTATGCTATATTATGTCAGCTTTTGTACAGTTCTCCTCAGCGAAGGTCATTTATTGGGTTTTTCACAGCTGTCTCTGCAAATGTTTACTGTATCGTGTGATGGAGTAATGTTGACTCCCTGACCAAGGTTGTACTTAAACCCATGATCCGCATCTTATATAAACTACTGTTCAAAAGTAAATGCATTAAATTGATCAAAAGTGAATTTCTATTTTGAATGACTTTCTATTCATCAAAGAATCTGGAAACAATGTTGTGGTTTCCACAAAAATAGTACTAGTAGTCATTATTACAAAGCAAATTAGCTTGGAGCTATAATTTCTGTCTTGGTTAAAGGTGGTGCAATTCGCCTTTGGCTAAGCCACGTCCTAGAATGTAGATTGACCAATCACAGCGCAGCCAAGAACGAGCTCCCACAGTGGTCCGACACTTTTTCACAGCGCTCCATTGACTTTAACACAGGCGTCTCATATTTTTGGTCTCGGCCGGCCATTACCGTCGTAGTTTTATCAAAAATATGGTTAAACGTTGTGCCTGGGGCATTTGTAACACAGATACGTGTTTCCCAGAGAGGTTGGAGGGGGGTGTCCGTTTTTTCCCTTCCCAAACCGAAGTCAAATCCTGACAAGTGTAGCACACGCTGCTAATAAATACAACGTTATACTCGCGTAGTCCGTTTGCTTTGTAATAAGGATTATAGAAGTGAATAGAGACCTACCCAGCTTTGCATGAACAGTGTTGCTCCTTGATATTGTTAGTCCCAGCCTCCGTCTCCATTAGTAGGATATGCGGTGGTTAATTTTTTTACTGTGACCGGTGTGCTTTTGCCTCTATTTGGATGCCTTGTTGTTCCTTGCGTTTCACCTGTATGTCGTGAATATAGCCTTCGAACGTATATCGCAGCCCCTTTTGCCTACTTCTATCGGACACTTTATTTGCTGTTAGAAAAGTTTGATAAAATTTCAGCAGGAAGAGCTGTCACAGCATAAGCCATGTTGATACCAGAGCCCAGATGAAGTTTGTTTGTCGGACGTAGCAACAGTAACTAAGGGGGGCGGGGCTTAGCCAAAGGCGAATTGATTTGTGCTCAGATTAGTTTTCTGATTGGCTTTCCAATGTGTTGGCCACTCCTATACACTTTTTTTTGTTGTTGTTCAGTGATGTCTGCTCATGTTACGTGTGGTTGATCAGCTCCTCGTGTTGAGCAGAGTGAACCGCAGGACCGGACTGACCTTGAGGAATCTCTGGAGCTGAAGTTGGGGAAACTCTCCAGCAAGATCTCATTCTTTCTCTCTGACTTTTATTTGATCGACCTCCTTAAGAAAACAGTTTCCATGGTAACGGGCTGAGGAGCACAACACAGATGAAGGGAGAGATGAACCTTCGAGGATGCTGCCTTTGTCTCTGTCTGCTGAGATGTGTGTGTGAATCGCAGCTGCCGGATTCCCGTCCGCTCAGGAGGCCTGTCATCGAAACTCTAAAACATGATTAAAAGCCTCTTCCATCATAGCCCTATTAATTCATTATGTTCAAGTCAGTCTGGGAGATGCAGATCTGCATACTTTCAATTTTCCACCCATCCATCCATCCGACCATCCATTTATTGTTCCGTCCATCCATCCATCCATCTTTAATTTTTTTTATTTGATTAGTCTATTTTTTCTATCCATCCCTTTCCATTATTTTCTTTCCTTTGATCCATCAGAGAGTGAGAGATGGAGAGATAGGATAGGTTTTATCTACTGTAGAGGTTCTGTCTTGTCAGATCTTGTAGAGACTGAAGTGCAGTCAGGTGGTTGAAGGACTCCACTGCAGAGAAACGTAATCATGTGTAATTCCTACATGAGTAATTCTCAGCAGGAATCTGTTATATTCTAGTAAAGCACCAGGATCCTTCATCGGGAATAATGGCATGCTCACAGATGCTGAAGGGAGTGTGTGAGAGTCATTGTTCCTCACTCCTCATCTCACAGCAGGACACACGGATATCTGCGTGTCTCATTGCAGACGGTATAGGCTGCTGGTTCAATCCGCCGTTCACTCGCACTTTAAATCAGTTTTGGCTGCATGACTCTGGCTCTGAGTTACCAAGGCTTTTTTTCTGACGGCGCTTCCATTCCTGACTCTCAATCGTCCATCACTCATGTCATCCTCATTTACTCTTATCTCCTCTTAGCTTTAGCCTATGTATCAGTTGTCAGATCACCTTTGGTAATGGGTTTCATCTGATATATTTTATCCTTAATGTGAGTCTGGGACTCACTTAATGTTTTAAGTGAATAAAAGTATAAGTTAATAGTTTGGTGATATGGTGCAGTATCTTGACCTCACAGCATTGATATTGTGTCATGTTTGATGCCGGTGTTGTCTGCCATTATGAGTCCTGTTCAAACACAAAGACTCAGATTGGATGTTCAGTAAACACAAATATTAGCTATCGAACCACATTAGCAGAACGGCGAGGCCCTAATCTCTCCCTCCAGGCTAACTGTGTTTACTGTGTCTTTACACAGCGGGGAAAATAAACGCAGTGTTGTCCAGCCTCGGAAATACTGTAACTTCAGCTTGACAGCATTAGTGTGGTTTTTCCTTCAGTTGTGTAAACACATTGCACATGAATTTTTCACAGAAGACCCCAGTTTTACCACTTACTGTACGTTCTGCAGAACAACGTGCTTCTCAGTGTTTTCTCCTTAAGGTGAGATGGAGAGAGAAGAAAGAGAGGAATCCTGTGATGAACATGCGCTGTGTGCTTTGCTTCTGCTGAGTTATGTAGGCCAGACCTAATTACCGCTGCAGGAAACACTTGCAAATGAAAATCAAGCCGAGGAAACGCAGAATAGCCCCGGTCACACTTTCAAAGTGCAGAGGCTTCATATGCGTCTGCTTGCTATTCACAGTGTTTGTTCATGTGGAATCTTTTGGAAATGTCCTTCCTTCCTTTTAGATGGCTGCAAATGAGCAAAGATGAATGAAATGGCTTTTAAACTAATAGGACTGCTTCATGTTGTCATTTTATAATTATAATTTCCCCCCCTTAAGTCCACTCATAATGTTAGCCGAGGTTTCTTCCATCAACACCTTAATTTCCAATTCTTTTAAAGAAACTATGCCTTTGCTTGCTTATAGTTTATTTAAGGTTTTATTGAATAAGAGGTTATGAATATGTTTTTAATCTTCTTATTATATTGATGTTACATAAATAACATTTGAATATCAAGTCGGTTTCCGCAGCAGGTAATGTGACATTTTATAATAAGCTGTGCTCATTTGATTCCCACTGCTTGTTTGAGGTGTTTTACTGCCTTTTTGTTGTGTTTTGAATTGTAAATGAGTTTTTCCCCTCCGTTTCATTTCTTAGCAATTGGTTCCTGGTTAATTGCATGTTATATTGCTTCCAATTCCCGTTTGTGGGAAAGTGAAAGTATCATTAGATTCCCACTGTGTGTTTCTCACTGCTGTAATCAGATTGGAGAAATATTGATTTCAAACACTCACTGTTCAGTGTTCACCACATTACTTTCTGTTGTTAATGAGAGATACTTTCTGGAATCTTTGCAGTCTTTAATTTTGTTCTCTGTTTTTTCTCTGTCAAGTCCCTGGCTGTTACGGTGCGTCAGGTTCTTTTTGAAGGGTTTATGGCACTTTAATAGCAGGTCTTTGGTCCTGACAGCCATGAACTGTCAGTGTTTGACTGACAGGTGCTGTAGGTGTTGTACTGTCACTGATCAGCTGTCTGTCTGTCTGTCTGTCTGTCTCCTTGCAGGGCAGTTTCGTAGCCTGTATGACCGCCACTCTGCGGCAGATGGACGACTATCACTACGCCCACCTCATCAGCACCTTTGGGAAGATGCGCACAGACGTGGTGGTGAGTTCTATGCCAATAAAAACTTTGTGGAACTCTTTAATCCCAACCCACATGTAGACAAAAATATATATTTATATATCTAGACATATATTATTATATATGTCTATATATATCACACACACACACACACACACATTTTGATTTCTCTGACCTACAAATGTGCAATTTAAGACTTTTGAAGGCCTTTCTTCCCCTCCTAAAGCTACACTTTGACTGATTGTCTTTTCATTTCCGTCTGTGTCAGTGAAGAAAGTAAACATAGACTTAACTGATATTTATATGTTTTATGAATCATTTTCTTAAACAAGTTAATTTATCAAGGCTACCAGGTCAGTATTGCCAATAGGAACCTTCTTCAAGCTTTGGAATTTGAAAAGTAATTTTAAATAATACAAATTCTATGCTACGTTTAACGCAGTTGGTGGAATTGGCAGACGTTCCCTCATCATGCGCTGTGCAAACGCGTCAAAGCATTCTCAGGTATAAACATGCAGCATTAATGCACGTAGGTGATTTTGAACGAATATTTCATGTCGATATTCAATGGTTACATAATGTTAAAACTAATCCTGCTATTGATATCTTTGTAAGACCCTATAGAACAGTGGCTAGGGAAAACAAATGTCAGGCAAATATCGAACCTAAAACTAACTTTACCGCGCTCAACCACCGTGAGTGCATTTCACGCATTTGTAATCGCTCGCATTCAGCGGGGAGGAAGGGAGGTTGGTCGGTCGGTCGGCCCAGCTCGGGACCAGCGAGATTCGTTGAGATTAATGAATCTATTTATTTATTTATCTGAGGTGCCGGAACACAGTTCCGGCCCACTTTAACCCCTGTATATATATATACACTCACCGGCCACTTTATTAGGTACCCCATGCTAGTAACGGGTTGGACCCCCTTTTGCCTTCAGAACTGCCTCAATTCTTCGTGGCATAGATTCAACAAGGTGCTGGAAGCATTCCTCAGGGAGTTTGGTCCATATTGACATGATGGCATCACACAGTTGCCGCAGATTTGTCGGCTGCACATCCATGATGCGAATCTCCCGTTCCACCACATCCCAAAGATGCTCTTTTGGGTTGAGATCTGGTGACTGTGGAGGCCATTTTAGTACAGTGAACTCATTGTCATGTTCAAGAAACCAATTTGAAATGATTAGAGCTTTGTGACATGGTGGAAGTAGCCATCAGAGGATGGGTACATGGTGGCCATAAAGGGATGGACATGGTCAGAAACAATGCTCAGGTAGGCCGTGGCATTTAAACGATGCCCAATTGGCACTAAGGGGCCTAAAGTGTGCCAGGAAAACATCCCCACACCATTACACCACCACCACCAGCCTGCACAGTGGTAACAAGGCATGATGGTTCCATGTTCTCATTCTGTTTACGCCAAATTCTGACTCTAACATCTGAATGTCTCAACAGAAATCGAGACTCATCAGACCAGGCAACATTTTTCCAGTCTTCAACTGTTCAATTTTGGTGAGCTCTTGCAAATTGTAGCCTCTTTTTCCTATTTGTGGTGGAGATGAGTGGTACCCAGTGGAGTCTTCTGCTGTTGTAGCCCATCCGCCTCAAGGTTGTGCGTGTTGTGGCTTCACAAATGCTTTGCTGCATACCTCGGTTGTAACGAGTGGTTATTTCAGTCACTGTTGCCCTTCTATCAGCTCGAACCAGTCTGGCCATTCTCCTCTGACCTCTGGCATCAACAAGGCATTTCCGCCCACAGAACTGCCGCTCACTGGATGTTTTTTCTTTTTCGGACCATTCTCTGTAAACCCTAGAGATGGTTGTGCGTGAAAATCCCAGTAGATTAGCAGTTTCTGAAATACTCAGACCAGCCTTTCTGGCACCAACAATCATGCCACGTTCAAAGTCACTCAAATCAACTTTCTTCCCCATACTGATGCTCGGTTTGAACTGCAGGAGATTGTCTTGACCATGTCTACATGCCTAAATGCACTGAGTTGCCGCCATGTGATTGGCTGCTTAGAAATTAAGTGTTAACGAGCAGTTGGACAGGTGTACCTAATAAAGTGGCCGGTGAGTGTATATATATATATATATATATGTCTGTGTGTGTGTGTGTGTGTGTGTGTGTATGTGTATATATACAGTTGTGGTCAGAATTAATGGCACCCCTGGTAAATATGATCAAAAATGGCTGTAAAAAATAAATCTGCATTGTTTATCCTTTTGATTTTTCATTCAAAAAAGTTGCAAAAATCTAACCTTTCATTGAAGTAAAAGAATTGAAAGTGCGGGGGAAATCACATTATGAAGTTTTCACCAAAACACGTTGGCCACAATTATTGGCACCCCTAGAATTTTTTCAGGTAAAAATATCTCTAAAGTATATTCCCATTTAATATTTACCTTTTTTTAGCACACCAGGGTGAACATGAAATTGTCTAGCTATGACTTCTTGTTTCACAGGAGTTTAAATATGAGGAAACACAAAGGCCAAATTCCCTTAATCATCCATCACAATGAGTAAAACCAAAGAATATAGTTCTGATGTGCATCAAAAGATTGTTAAGCTTTACAAAATAGAAAGTGGCTGTAAGAAAATAGCTAAAGAATTGAAAATCCCCATTTTGACCATCAGGGCAATAATTAAGAAATTTCAATCAACTAAAGATGTTCTGAATCTGCCAGGAAGAGGACGTGTGTCTATATTGCCTTAATGGACGGTGAGAAGGAGAGTTTGAGTGGCCAATGACTCTTCAAGGATCACAGATGGAGAATTGCAGAGATTAGATGAGTCTTGGGGTCAGAAGCCAACCAAAAAAAAAAAAATCAGACAACCCCTATATCACCAAGTCAAGTCAAGTCACATTTATTTATATAGCGCTTTTCACAATACAGATTGCATCAAAGCAGCTTCACAGTGATAACATGAAAGTAGTACAACACAGTTCAATAATATTGTTGAATATTAAATATCCCCAACTAAGCAAGCCAAAAGCAAGGCGACAGTGGCAAGGAACCAAAACTCCATCAGATTGGATGGAGAAAAAAACCTTGGGAGAACCCAGGCTAGTCAGGGGCCAGTTCTCCTCTGGCTAACAATCATAGGGTTTTAAAGAAGCTTTACAGTAAGTGCATATCAGAGAGTACCTGGAAAAAATACATTTAGTTAATCATGTAATATTTAGGGGATAACATATCGCCGGCGTTGAGTCGTCTCTTCGCAGGCGTTGAGTCGTCTCTTCACAGGCGTTGGTCTTCTCATCACAGGCGTTGAGGCATCCGAAATCCCCGTGAGAGGCAGGATACCAAACTGGAGCCTACGAACGCCATTTTTCTCGGGACAAGCGTCCCGAGATAACAGCAGAAAGGCAGATGGGAAATAATTAGCATAGCTGATGTTCATAATGATTTCCATTACACGGGAGTAGGTGTTAGAAAACCATAATCTCACAACTCTCCGCAACCCAAACTCTCCGCAACCCAACCGCAACCATACGGACCGACCCGTTTGTCTATAAGGCTGTCGAGCCCCACTGGTGCGTTAAGCAGTTTCAGTGGCAAACGGTTCCGTATGGCATAGCAGAGGACTAAAAGGTAAGCATTATGTGAATGCTTGACTAAAGAGACACGTCTTTAGTCTAGTTTTAAACTGTGTCAGCGAGTCAGAGCATCGGACCGTATCGGGAAGGCTATTCCAGAGTTTTGGAGCTAAATGCGAGAATGCCCTCCCTCCTTTCGTGGACTTCGATATCCTAGGAATGACCAGAAGCCTTGAATTTAGTGATCTTAGAGAACGCGGTGGATTGTAGGGCGAAAGAAGGTCCGTTAAGTACATAGGAGCTAAACCATTAAGGGCTTTATAGGTCAGTAGTAGTACTTTGTAATTGATACGGAACTTAATAGGTAACCAGTGCAGAGATGATAAAATCGGTGTTATATGATCATATTTTCTTGATCTAGTAAGAACTCTAGCGGCTGCATTTTGCACTAACTGTAGCTTGTTTATTGAGGATGCAGGACAACCAGCTAATAAAGCATTACAGTAATCTAGTCTCGAGGTCATGAATGCATGAACTAACTTTTCTGCATCAGAAACAGATAGCATGTTACGTAATTTAGCAATGTTTCTAAGGTGGAAAAAGGCTGTTCTTGTAACAGATGAAATATGATTTTCGAAAGACAAGTTGCGGTCTAGTATAACACCCAGGTCTTTTACTGTAGTGGAAAAAGTAACAGGGCATCCTTCTATATTAAAGTCGTATTGTAAGAGGTTTTGTGTGTAGTTTTTTGGACCAATAAGTAATACCTCCGTTTTATCTGAATTTAATAGCAGGAAATTACGCGTCATCCAGCATTTTATATCTTTGAGACATTCTGTCAATTTAGATGAGGTAATGTTTTCATCTGGTCGTGATGAAATATATAATTGAGTGTCGTCTGCATAACAGTGGAAATTAATTCCATGTTTTCTTATAATATTACCAAGTGGCAGCATATATATTGAGAATAGCAGAGGGCCTAGCACCGATCCTTGCGGTACTCCGTAGTCTACTGACGTTAACTTTGATTTTCCCCCGTGTAAAGAGACAAAATGATAACGGTCAGATAAGTACGATCTAAACCAGCTTAATGCCTGTCCCTGAACACCAGTGTAGTTTTGTAGTCGATCCAAGAGTATTTTATGATCTATAGTGTCGAACGCGGCGCTAAGATCAAGTAGGACTAGTATTGAGATACAGCCTTGGTCAGAAGCTAAGAGTAGATCATTTGTAATTTTAACTAGCGCAGTTTCTGTACTATGATGCGGTCTGAATCCTGACTGGAATTTTTCATAGATATCATTTTCTTGCAAAAAAGAGCACAGTTGAGCAGATACAACTTTTTCTAGTATTTTGGACATAAATGGAAGATTTGAAATGGGTCTGTAATTTGCTAGGTTATTTGGATCTAGTTGCGGTTTCTTAATGAGAGGTTTTATTACTGCCAACTTGAATATTCTTGGAACATGACCTAAGAATA